TAGATCAAGGATGATTGAGTGGTCGACTGAGTCCTGAAATCAAAGCACATAGTTATTGCTGGTTTCCCGTGCGTGAATCTGCATAATAGGCATAAGGTTTATAGAACCTCGACGCGGCGGAAAAAATCCCTTATCTGCCATTATTCCGGATTCCCGTTAGGTAGCGAATTGAGGCCAGTAGCTTTGTATCTACTGGCGTCGCGCTAATACCTCAGTGGCTCACTTATTCGGTGCGGCTAAGCTTATATAGATCTTCCATGATTGCTTTATCTGTTAGCTTGGATGCCTTCTTCATACAAAACTTGTCGGCAAAGGTAGTTTAGCGCGTTGCAGAGGACCTCAGTTCCATCTTTAAATAGCGTGGGTGCAAGGAAATCTGGGCCAACAACGCGTTTCATGACCTCAGTATCTGACAGAGCCCCTAAACCCACCGGCCACGTATGTTGTGAAGGTTCTCGCAGCTAAACACAGCCATACAGCTACAATACATCCGGTAAAGCACTAGACGACCGTTTCGTCAGCAGCGCGCATCCGTCTGGTCATGATCATCAGTAGCACATTAGCCGATTGAACAGATGATTCGGTGCTGTACAACCACAGTGACCTAGACAGAGAGAGAGAAGCGGAACCTAGCGTGAAACCTTAATACTCTTAGAAAACATCCAGACGACTATACTTTCTCATCAACATACTGTCACAAACAGCTGGCTATCGTGCAAGGATAAGGTAGCAACAGCGAGACAGCTTCCTTGAGGCTTTCACTACCCCACGTCATAGTCAGCTATTACCCCACAGAGAACTCAGCACCAGACAGTTTAAACAGGTAGTCCGATTTTGAGACAGTAACAGACGCGCCATTGGAGTCGACTGCCAGCCATATCCAGTAAAGCCTCAAGCCAAGCACTAAGCGAGTAATGTGGACTCCAGCATGGAAGGCGAGACGGATCGACGGTACTTAATTTAGTCGTCAGTGACTTCCTTTCCGATTGTTAACTTTTGTCCACCTCGAGCCTTGCGTCACACTCCAAGGTTCTCCTCGGGAGGCGATGACCGGGCATACGCAGTACGTGCTCAAGCCAACGAAATTTAATACTATCTGCTGTTCTAAAGAACTAGCGTAAATATCACCGCCTAGCACTCATCTATGCACATCTTCCTTTCGGACACGCTGGTGTCCCCCGACACTAGCAATGATCCGTAGACAGCAATGATGAAAAAGTTGAGAGCGACGCAGGTCTTCAGATTGGAGTGACCAAGCCTTACTTCCAACGAGTAGGATGACCCTTACAATGACCTTGTAAACACGACCTTTCAAACGGAGGGAAACTCCTTTCTGTCGCCAGAGATGTCGCAGATTCAAAAAGGCAGTTCTGGCCTTTGCAATGCGTGAACTGACTTCAGTTTGCATGTGCCCATCGTTGCTGATGATGCTGCCAAGGTAAGTGAATTGACTAACTATCTCGAGCTCCTCATTATCAAGGGTCAGGGGGGGTTGGTGGGGTGTGGTGGTCCTGCAACAACACTTTGCACTTTGAAGGTACGAAGCATATGCCAAATAACGTGACCAGCCTTAAAGTAATTGAGGGTTGATTGCACCGCCCCAGCATCATTAAACAGTAAGACAATATCGTCCGCATAATCAAGATCAACTAAACCTTCATTAAGCAGCACGTCAACGCCTGCACCGTAAGATTTCGCAACAGAACACTCCATGATGGAGTGCACGACGAAATTGAATAAAAGCGGGGAAATCGGACAACCCTGATGGATGCCACTTGTTGTCGGAAAGATATCCGATAAGTCAACGTAGAGCCTAACGCGGCCAGTCGCGTTCTAATTGAGCGCCTAAAATGTTCACATATTTCGTGGGAACACATTTTCACGCAAGTATTTCGAACAGAATGTACCTATTAACTGAACCGAATGCTCTCTTGAAATTGAGGAACACAGCTATTATCGGTCTGCGGTACGCGTGACGCTGCTATATCACCTGTCTACACAGCCCCGCCCTGGACGGAAACCTGCCTGCTCTTCCGTAATCAAGGATCCCTGTTCCTCAGTGAGGTGACGAACGGGAATCAAAGCACGTACTCTAGTCACAAATGGCGTTACGCTAGTATCTTTTTGGTAAGAAGACGATGCGACTGCCCTTCCTGTATATTGCCACTATAATCGATTCACTCCAGTTAACCAAGATCGTCTCTTCTTTCTAGACAGGGAGGGCAGTGCTTTGCAAAGAACCTCGCATCCATGTTTAAATAGTGCATGCAGCAGGGAATTCGGGCCAACAGCAGGAAAATAATGGAGGGCTGTGATCGCGTTTCGGATCTCAGTCTCCGATGGAGCCCCTAAGCTAACCGGCCATGGCTCATCCTGCACCACCTAAGTAGGAAGAGGTCCAGTAGCATGGGGCCAAATGAACTGATTTTGAAAGTATTCCGTCCAAGGAGTTATACGACGCTCCTTATTATGTATCAGTGCACCCACGCTGTCTCTGATTGACTCACCGACGCTTGCTTTCCTGAGACCAGTGGTGCGGATCAGGTGGAAGAGGTTGCGATAGTTCCAGAATGCTCCTGCTTCCTCCATTTCTTGAGCCAGGCTGGTCCACCAGGCTTCCTTGTCAGCACGTAGGCTCCGCTTTAGTTCGCGCTTAATAGTCCGTCTGGTCACATTGTGCTCAGAGCCAGCCGGGAGGTTTCTTCTGGATTCCAACAAGTTCACCGACCTCTCGGAGATCCAGTGACTGGTGCGGTGACGAGTGACAGTATCAAAAATAGACGCTCCTGAATTGTATGAGATATTATTCCATTGAAGCTCAATGTCATTAAGACAAAAGAGCGAATGTTCGGTACGCAGCGCATCCTGGTAAGTTTGCCTGACCGAGGGTTGAGATAACTTCTCATTTTCCAACCGAGGGAGACGCTTGATGCGCCTCCCGGTAAAGTTCATGGGAAAACGACTACATACCAAGGCATGATCAGAGTCGATGCAAGTACTTCAGAACGAGCGGCAATCCAGGATGGAACCAAGCCACCTGTAAACTATGGCAATGAGATCTATTTGGGTCCATCGCTCGCTCGCTACCGGAGGACGCCAAGTGGCACTTCCGCTTCCACTCTAAAAGTGGCGCTACTAAGAAACAGCTGTCGCTTCCCACACAGCTACAAAAGACGCTCGCTGTTGTCCGTCCGTTCGGAGTAAAGCCCATAACTACGACCTAGCTGAGTTTCTGAAGAGCCCAGGCGACCTAACTGCGCGTTCAGACCTCCTGTAAGTACTATGATGTCTGAACGGGTAGCAGAGGGAAGTAGCGTGTTCAGTTCGTGGTGGAAGGTGTCCTTGGCGGCATCCGAACTGCAGTCAGTGGGGGCCTAAGCGGAAACCACAAACAAACAGCGTACTACTTCGTGAATCAAACTGGCTGTACACAAACGACTGACCACGGGAATCCAATCAACCCATGAGGACTCCGCCTTAGAGCTCAGAACGGTGCCCACACCAGCCTGACCAGTGATTGCCGCATCAGCGTCTCCGGTTGCGTGCAGTCAATAGCGAGAGGACAAGCCGGGAGCAGTAACTTCAACAATCCCGTGAGGGTCATGAATCCTAGTTTCGGATACGCAACCCATGTCCATACCCAGTGTGTCCAACGTGCGTGCGAGCGCAGCCTGTTGGTCCATTCGTCTTGAATTGAGAACGTCGAAGGCCCCCAGGGAAATGGGACAGTGTGGCCATGTAAGGGGATGTTGCCGTTGGGCGTCCAGCAGGTGGTGCGGATGGTGTGACTCGTGGTATTGTGGCTGCTATCAATTAAGATGGGGATTATAGAAGGAAGGTAAGTAATTGGGTGGGGATGGGAATGAGACAAATGGAAAAAAGAAGAGTGGAGCCAACAGCGGCATGCTTTTGCTTATCCGCCCTGCTGTATGCTTCAGATAAGGCGAAGCTTGATAACCTGCGCGACGCCGGATGCAGAATGTGGTTGAAGTTTGAAGAAACAGTCTTGGATGTAAGTGGGCTGAGATACTGCCATGACGCCTAGGCCTAGATAGGAGGACGATTAGGGTCCTCAGCTACAAAACGTTTGGCTCAAAGGCTTGTCCGCAAGGCAACGTTGGGGTGGCAATGATTTAGTTTTACATAAATGGGCGCCATCCAATTTCAAATCCCCAACCTGGAGGACCAGGAGGGGAGTTTGTTTGAGCTCTAATCATTGGTCAACCTGGTTAGAGTAACTCCCAAGGCGCCTGAGGGCACCACCTATTATAGCTCAATAAGTTAGAGGCACACGAACCATCGCACCAGGTTAGGGTCTAGTCTTGTTGCGACGGGAGAATATGGTCGAAGTTTGATGAAATAATCATGGTTGTACGTCGGATGGGATACTGTCATGGACCCCAGACCTAGACAAGGAAACCATAGCAGCCTTCAATCTAAGTATGGTACGAAAGTGACTTCAAGTCAGCGGAAAGATGGTTATGGTCCGGTTTTACAGAAATGGATGCCACCAAATTTCCAACCCCCAAATTGGAGGGCACTATGCTAAGGTCCGATCTCGTGATTGTCATAAGTAAAAATGCTCACTTCACTGATTACTTTTTTCAGAAGCGAAATGTTCCTGACGAAACAAGGGCAGACTAAAAAGCTAGTGAGTAACGAAAGCGCATAAATTTCAGCGCCCTTGCTAAGAGATATGGCGGGGTGCCACATGAGATGGTAATTGTTATGGGGTGTCACCAAACTGTTGTGGTTGACTTTATGTTTTAAGCTCAAGAGAAATCAGCCTCAAGAATTCAAAAATGCTAATTTGGCAACCGGAAGTAGTGAGAAGGCACGACAGACTGGCCTACAAGGTGACAGACAGGACGTGGTCACACCAACGAAAATGAAGCCAATTTACAGCAAGCTGACAAACATACCAGACTATCTTACATTGGCAGAAAACTCGATCAACCAAATGACACAGATTAACCCTAGGATCTATCAATAGTAAGTACCTCACGGTGTTGGAAGTCGCCCAGTTGAACGAATGGGCTGTATCGAAGTAACTTAGAAAAAGATTGGTCCGAAGTCGGGTCGCGTCGCGCACGGAGCTTCCGAATATTCGGCTCTTGAAGCATTCGATTCAATGTCCACGGCACAAACGCCACAGCAGTGGAGCGCGGAAGATCACCACTGGTCTTCTACAAATAAGAACTGAGGAAACCAAAGTTTTCGCACCTTTTGACATATCTCTCCAGGTTTTTCGTTCATGGCGGCTGACAATTCGGGTTCTGGTGTGGATTCCATTGTTGACCTTTCATCTTGTGATACCTTTTGTTCAGAGATACTATCATCAGCACGCTTGAAGAAGTCTTTCAGCTTATCGGCAAATATAGCTGTTTCGGATTCGTCATTAGCTGTGCACATAAGGCGTGACAAAGTGGATGATCCATGGGGGATGATCCTCTGAGCAAAACGACACAACATGCTGCAAAAATAAAAGCACTATACGAACGAACGCAAAGGCAAGTCAAAACACTAGTGACTCAGCTGTTACAATACCTAAGTTAACATGGCCGCAAGCTCTAATACAGATGAACACTGATGAGGCCGTGCACGTGGAAGCAATGGAAAAGGTGAAATACCTGATCAAAACGTGGAAATCGATAGGGCAGCAGTGATATCACTGAGTTGATCTTCCCCCATTGGTCAGCTAAGGAGGCTGGTGGAAAGAGGGACGACTAAACCCATCATATATATTTGGATGGCGGCATCCTGTTACAGTTACATATCACAGCAGTTTCCAAGGGGACAGCTACAGGACACCTGCACCTACAGAGGGACCATGGGTGGCTTGCGCTGCACTACCCACAGCTCCCTACACCCACACCACGCCACACCCAGTGCAAAGCCGAAGGAAAAAGACCGAGAAGCAGATGGGAGCCATGTTTCATCAATGGAGCTGGCCCACACGCTTTCAATATTACAGCGGCATTCCCATCTGTCTAATTTGGAAATCATGTGTACCAGAAGTACACAAGGCGGTTGCTGGGCCGTAGCCCGTTCCGTCGACCCGTAGCATAGAGGTAACGAGCTGGTCTCTTAATCTTAGGGCACAAGTTCGAGTCCTCGTAGGGGTGGGCGTCCTCGCGGTATACTCAGCCCGCGTGCGACTGGTGGTGGTCGCACGGCAGCGAAGCGCCGTTACGGCGTACAGCTGACACATTAGTTTTTCTTATTATTTATTAACCCGTTCCACACTGGATGCATGGAACCCCTCTTGAGTCTAGCACGGTCACGAAGACGTGCATCCGGTCTCCAGAAGCAACGACTAACCGTTTCCTGGAACCACTATAATCGAGATCGTTTTTCGACAGGTAGGTACTTTGTCAAAATTCATATCAAGCGCAGCCACACCGGGGATATCAATCAAAAGCGGACGTCTGAAAGGCAAGAAAATCAACACGTACAAGTACAGACCAACTGGCGACGACGTAGCATACGCGCCACCACGGTCGTATTATTGGCCCGGGTTAGTAGACAGAATTGAATCGGTAACAGTGTATTTACCAAGCGCTGTGTTGATGACGATTATCAATTCAGCTAACTCGTCTTATCTTAAATATTGAACCCACATGGCCACGCTGGTTGTTTGCCAAGTCAGCTTCGCTGAGGCACTCGCGACCGCATGTGCTACAGCACCATGCGTCTGACATCGACGGGCTAGACTGCATCGGCGCCTGTCGCTTCCTCAACCGAGGTTTCTCCTCCGCATGTAATAGTGATTTCTCCTACACCTAGGCAAAAGCCCTTTTGATAACCTCTAATCATTCGCGCTGATGAGCTGTCTGAGTCCGAATACCTGAGAACACAAGTTGTTCATGATAAACTCACCTTGATCATGTCACAGTAACGTAGGTTTGGTTTACGCATGTTTCGCTTCCCTGCAACTGTTTCGATATCCGGGTCGAATCCATGCGGCGAACACGTTCGACCCATCTCAGCAGAAGTATGCAGTCCATGCATACATGCCACTGAGGAAGAATACTTTTGTGTCTGCAATTCAGTCACCCCAGCCGATGCAGATAATCCGAGGAAAGTACTGCTGACGGGAGCGCTCCATAGAACGAACGTCCTTCCGGTACAGCGTCTACGTTGCAGATATATATATATATATATATATATATATATATATATATATCGTCATGCACATGCATTTTCGTAAATCCCTGAAATGCTCACCTGCCGTCAATTAACACAAATTTAATGTTCGTTCCCTAAGTACTATTGGGAAAAGAATGGAAATGGAGAAGGCGATAGCTACCTACATTGGCGATGTCGACTCTATCACTTCACTCAGAGATCTGTGGCACCACACCCGTGAACAGGTGACGGATGCGGCTGAGGAAATGATCAAGCGCGCAAACTGTAAGCGGTCGGATGGGTTTTATGGATACAGTGCGAACATTGGTACATTAGTGTCGACGAAGTATGCAGTATTTGCTGCGCATGTGGAAGACACTGCCGACTCCGTTAGAGTCAGTTTCGCAAACTTCGACGGCTATTGACTGGAGAGCTCGTCGCAACCAGAATACATGGTTGACAGAGAAAGCGAATCAGATGGAATGCTATCAGTGTAAGAAATGCCACGACAGTGTTGTAACCTATGGATTTTCGATTTCACAATAACACCAGTTGGCCTGTACACGTTGTCAGAAGACCATGAATTAAGTGCAGCGTAGGTCTTTTGCTCTAATTTCACCGTCTTGGAGCTATCAAGCATGACAGAGTTTGCGGGTAGCTCCATTCCGCTTCAAGTGTAACAAGCTAACCTAGACTTTGAGAAGGTGTGATTCAATGGGGTTTACCGTATTCGACTAAAATGGAGAATTAACAATGAATAAAGTAATACATACAACACAGACAAAAGCATAACCACGCCATATGAGGGAGGATCCAATGCCATATAATGAATGAAAAGTCACCGATTCGAACAGCCACTCCACCTCTAACATACCTGTTTTCTCCCTCCGTTGGCGCAACGACGGACAATCAGCATGTGCCAAAATTGGAGCACCGGTGCATTTAAAAACAGGACACCGCCTTCACTTTTGTTTTGGACTTTCTTGTGCTCAAAGACACACAGTGTCTAGGAGAACCGTGCGCATAACAGTCGATTCTAATCGTCGATTTTGCTTTTCACTCCTACTCCAACTTTCATTGAATTCGTTAGGTTGTAAAAGGCAGAGTGAGGTATCGTGTCAGCCCCTTTGCCACCAGTTCAGAACAAGAAGCATGCATGTCTTTGTAGCCAGCGGTCCTTAAGGGGCCTGAGCAGTCTCAGCAAAACGACACGGTTCTGACACCAGGACACGTGTCTTACACGATAGCCAGTTATTTGTGACGGTCATCATCATCATCATTACACATTAGCTGAAGATGAGAAACACACTACAACTATTGTGCCGCAAACGAAAAACAAGATGGTGAAAATCATAAAGCGCTAAAAAAACAGGCGGCAGACTAAGTAGCAACATTATGCGTTAACAGAAAGATCGAGGATGGAGAGGGAAGATAAGCGGAAAAGTGAAGGAAAAAGAAGCACAACACAAACGCCATAGAGATCGGCTCTTTGCCATATCAACTAGTGTATCCAATCAAACGTGTTCATCGTCCTTCGGACCCCAGCCAGGCGTCGGGACACGCCAATCGACGCCTACGGCGAAGTGATGGATTTCATTTCTCTTGACCATTACTCCTCTTCTTCCATCCAGACCCCGGGCGCGCAAACAACGCATGTCGCGGGAGTCGGTGCGCTGGTATGTACAACATGTGGCTTAGCCATCGGAGCCTGGTGCGTGATATGATGGTGCTGAGCGGTTCACTCGCTCTTCATGCACCAAATACACGACGTCGAACACGCGCACTGCACACGCGGTGCTCTCACCAAACATGAGCTAAGCTGCGAAGGCAGTGATGATTGAACCTAAGTAGCCTCTTTATATCTGTTGACTTGATGGGCCAGGTTTCGCAACCATACAGCTGCATAGTAAACTCCGTCCTTCAGGACGGCAGTGTTATCGCGCCGGTGCCACAGATGACGGATTGGCAAAAGCGGTTCGAGCTTTAGTTATGTGGTCTGTGATCTCATCTTCCGTCCCAATGGCGCTGATATAGCTATCTAGATATTTGAATTTCTGGACGACTTCTAGCTGATGCCCACCAAGGGTCAGCACAGGGGTGGGTCCTTGCCAATCTTTGAGGACTTCGCATTTCGAGGGCGTAAAGCATAGGCCAAAACGACTGACAGCCAGTGCCACCTGGCACGTTTGAAAGCTGTCACAGATAAGAGTAATGTCGTCGGCGTACTACAAGTTAATAAGTCGGTCAACTGGCAGCAGCTCCATGCCTTGTAGGTCGTGTCTAATGAACGCAGTTTTCATGATCACGTCGATGGAGAAGTTAAAAAGGAAAGGTGGCAGCGAGCATCCTTGTCTCACACTGCTGGAGATATTGAAGGGCAGCGACAGCTTGTCGTAAGCACTCACTGCCCGAACTATGTGCGTACAGCGCTCTTATGACATTCACATATTTCGCGGGCATACTCTTCCTCAGTAGACAGTCCCAAAGGGCACATCGATCAACCGAATCGAAGTCATCTTTGATGTCGAGGAACATGACTACGGTGACTCTCCGATAAATATGGCGGTGCTCCACAAGTAACGTTGTGCAAGGATATGATCAATACAGCCGCGAATACAACGAAATCCGGCTTGTCCCTCAAGAACCTGGCTTTCACGTAACAGCAATTCTACGAAGAACAAAAGAGGTGAGTATCTTAAAAGCAATTGTGACAAGATTGATCCCACTATAATTGCCGGATTCAGAAAGTGAGCCACCTCTCTTGAAAATTGAGACTATTATCGAGCGGCTCCAGTCGGCTGGGACAGTTCCATGTTCCCAGAGTTTTACAAGTTGCGCAGATCATCTACAACAGCAGGGTCCCGAATTTGAAGCGAGCTACAGGGATTCTATCCGCGTCTGTGGCATTATTCACTTTCATCAGTCTGATCTCACGTTCGACTGCTGCGCGTGAAGGCAGGTCCGAGGGTAGGGCCCAGGTAGGACGATCGATGGCTGAAGAAGCTGGAAATTCTGGAAGTTGCTTTTCAGTGTTCGGCACAACGCTCCAAGCGCTTTGCAAAATGTGGGTCGGCCGTCCACCCTCATTACGTATGGTCCCCCTCTAACACCAGGTCTCCCTTTGCCCGTTTCGCGTATCAAGCGGTTACTAAGGGCAGTGGCCATTTCCGTTTCCGAGGCACGATGAGACCACAAGGCTTCGTGGTCTCTCTTCAGCCCAGCACGCAGTTTCGACCTGGGGTTTTTGCGAGTCTCGTTGTGTCCGCTTCCAGCCGGTATGTGTCGGTGAGCATCAATAATTTCCAGAGTGCATAGAGGCCCAATGGCCAGCTTGGCAATTTGATTTGCCACATGAAGAAATGTCAGCTGTTAATAACGTCTTATAAATATGCGACCAGTGGCCCTCTACTGCTTTCAGAGAGCGTTTACTCAACCCGAATGCTAGCTTATTTTGATACGCATTCCGGGGACCTAACTTCGCTAGCTGGCATGCATGTATGCGCTCACAACGGCGCCGCATGTGCACACCGAAGCGAACTACAATATAGGCACAAACGTGTGCTTGGTCAGAGTCCACGCTGGTGCCCAAAATTGAGCGATGGTTTTGTACACTGCCTCTCCAACGGTAACTGATCGCGATGTAGTCGATTTGCGTCCATGGCTAGTTTGATGCGGGTGGATGCCATGTCACCCTTCTGCGGGTGCCGTGTCGGAAGTTAGTGCTCGCGAGAAACAGGCGAGCATTTTCACACAGGTGTAGCAACCGCTCACCGTTATCATTACGGGAGCCTACACCATGTTGGCCCCTCAGATGAACGTCATCAGTGGACAGTTTTCCAAATTGGACGTTCAGATCGCCAGTCAGGATCAGTGTATTAGTACATTTCCTCTGATGATAGAATTCATCTTTCAGCGAATCAGCACTACAAGTTATGGGCGAGTAGACCGCAATAACAAACAGGCACCGTTTGGATACGGACGACTTCGAAGCTCTGAACGAGCCAGCCAATCTGAGGGCGCACGTCCGACGGCTGACTGGGATCCAATCAACCAGGGCAGCTTCAGCTCCGGGACTTGGAACAATGCCCACACCGGCTTGACCAGTATTTGAAGTTGCGTTATCTTCAGACAAACGCAATGAAAAGGCGCCGCCAGTGTCGCTTGTGCGGGATAGCAGGGTAATCACGGAACTCGCATCTCGTAGGCGGATTTCCGATAAGCAACAAATGTCGATCGATTCGATTTCTAGTGTTTAGGCAAGTGCTGCCTGTTGGTCATTCTGCATCAAAGTGTGTGACGGTATGTTGTGGACAAGTTGGAGGTGCCTTGAATCTAAAGGTTTTCTTAGGACATTAAGGTTTTCTGGTCCACTTCTCTCCCTTTTATTATTCTGCGTTCCGTAGGTCGTTGTGGTTGTGCGGCAACGGAGCATAGTTCAAATGGCCGAGGTACTGCTGTTGTTGATGCTGATGGTGGCAGGTGTCTTACACAGGCACGAGTCCAGAGGTTCCTACGTAGGAGCCGCAGGTATCTGCGGCTGTTTCAACAGCCGCTTAAAACGTTCCTTAGACTGAGTATTAATAACAATTTTCAAAAATCGGTTGGATGAGTTCACCACCCGAGTGGAGAGAACGATAGTTGAGTGAACGTGGAGCCTCCTCATGTCGGGTATCCTATAGTGTGATGGAAAAACTAAGAAATGGATACTGTAGTATACGTCCAGGCGAGAGGTCCCGAGGACTTCCGTGTCCGGGGCGTACGTGGATTGTAACAGACCGAGAAGGTGGAAAGGTATAACAGACAATTCGTAGGCGGCTATATAGTTTCATCACAGCCACCTAGTATGAGTCGAAGGTGGATGGAGGGTGCGCCTCATGGCGAATTGGACGGCGTTGTCACAGCTGCCGATGGAGAACCGAGCCTCACGTGAATGGGAGGATGACGTGAAAATACAAAGGAGATGGCTGCTCTAACACCAAGGACGAAATGAGAAGGCAAAGAAGAAAGGACAATGGTATTTTAAGCTAGGCTCGATGACATCTTACTTGATGACGTACTACAAAGTTCACTGAGTTGTAGAGAGCAGGAGAGAAAAGGTCAGCTCCGTCGATTCCGAACTATTTTCGGTTTGATGCGTGTCATTGCGTCAAGACATCCCTCAAGAGTTCGTCGCAGTTGCAGTGACGGTAGCAAAATCCAAGCATTCTCATAATGGTCGTCCGACAAGCGCTTGAAACTTTCCTCCACAATGTCCTTCGGTAGGCCGTTCCATTAACCACTCTAGTGGATAAGGTGAGAGCCGTGCGAAACCTCTCTTGCTCGTTTAAACAGCTTCCATGCGTGAAACAGTCGGCGTTGGGCTGGAATAACTGCAGTAACTCACTTCCGAGTTCTCCTCGGAGGATACGTCTAGTGTAGCTAAGGTTACCGACGACGGAGCTCCATGAAGAACAAATTTAGCTGCTGGAGTCGAGTGGGGTACGGAAGACCAGAAGACTTCGACGCACGCTGCAGCAGACCGCATTCAAATGGATAGCTGGTAGGCCATATTGTAAAATTAGAAGGACGTAGGAGGTAAAAAGAAGTCGAAAAATCTCAGGAAGCATTCCAGTGAATGATCTTTCTAAGGCACCTACCAGTCTTTCCAGCGGCCATCTACAACGCGTCGTGGAAGGTCTTAAGGTCAAAGACACAATAACTCCGAGAAAGATCTCGAGGCACTATAGGCTGCTGCAAGCTCTCCAGAACGATGTCCGTCCGTTACTGGTGGCTAAGCTGGCGTGCATATTTTGCGTCTCTTTATTACGATTTTTCTTGTGTACTGTGGCACAATGACTGAGGCGTCCTAACCTCTGAGTGGTATTCCTGAGGAGAAACCTAACAACTTGGTATACATCGTAGGGATCAGTATTGCCTAACAGGAGAACGGCGCATTTGTCCCGGTTTATTGGCAGCGGCCACTTGATAGATCAATCGTACAGCTGATTTAGATAACCTTGTCGTCTGTCAGCATTTTCAAGGCTGTATGCTGCTGATCACAGCTTGAGGTTATTGATGTAAATCAGGCAGCCGAAAGATCGTTCAGGTAATGTCAGAAGAGTTTTAGTCCAAGCACGGATCTTTGAGAAACGCCGCTAGTCATAAGCCCAGGAGCGGAGATTTGGTTTACTTTAACGCGCATTGTCCTGCCTCTTAGGAAGTCAGCAATCCAAGAGAGATTTTTTGTGATACCAATTCCCAAAAGTTGGAACAGCGAATTCCGTGTTGAACTTTATCAAAGGCTTTACTAAAGTCAATGAGG